GAACTGAATTCATCTATCATCCTGTCATCTCCAACAGAGCCTAGTTCACTGTCCACTGAATCTTGACTTGACTAGTCCAGTCTGTACTGAAGCTACATGTAGACGTTAATACTAGTTCAGCGTGCACTGAAGCTAGGTGTTACTAGTTTAGTGTGGACTGAAGCATGGTGTTACTGGTTCACTGTGCACTGAAGCATGGTGTTACTGGTTTAGTGTGGACTGAAGCATGGTGTTACTGGTTCACTGTGCACTGAAGCTAGGTGTTACTGGTTTAGTGTGGACTGAAGCATGGTGTTACTGGTTCACTGTGCACTGAAGCATGGTGTTACTGGTTTAGTGTGGACTGAAGAATGGTGTTACTGGTTCACTGTGCACTGAAGCTAGGTTTTGAATTCAGTTCTTACCACTCAATGATGCATACTGGTAGATCCACGGCCTCTGGTAGTGGGAAATGTTGTCCAAGCTGGTCAGTGCGTCAAAGGCCACGTTGTCCAGACGTGTCCAGCCGACGTCATAACTGCTGACGTCAGTATTCAGCAGGCTGTAAGGCTGATCACAGTCAGTCAGCACCCTCCACAAAGGTGCAGGGACATTACAGCTTTCGTCTAGAAGTAAACAAGTCAGTCAACATCTCATTGACAGCGTTTTACTAATTGTATGTGGTACCGGTTTTTTAGAAGCTTTTTGCTTCCAGGTGACTCATAGCTAAGACCGTTCCACAAAAAAAAGAAATCTGTTATCAAGGCCTTCTTGAGATTGTGTTGAATGTATCTAAAGTGTGTACATCTTTTATGTTTTTTTTTAATTTTGTATTTAATGATATTTGGTATGTCTGTAGTTCCTTTAGTCGAATACGGCTTATTTCCAAGGAATCCAATTTACAAACAAAATACAAAGTAAGTGAATGTGACATTACTATTCTTGCTGCTACAATTGGGTAACCTTATCTTATGTACAACCTAGGCATTTGCATGCTCTAGAAACACATTTTCTCCATTTAGTGGACCTCATTAATTTATAAATTTCATCTTATTTCAAGAAAGTACTGAATTCACTGGTTCGCTTAACACAAACGTACACAACTAATAAATGAACGTGTAATGTATATAAAATGTGGCACAAACCTTTCTTGACTCGGATTTGGCGGAGCCTGGGACGTCCGACGAGGAAGGAGCTTGTATCAGGGTAAAAGCCTGCCCTGTGGAATCTGTCTCCGTTGTACCACCTCACATCGTGAACATCTGAAACAACGTGATCTCTGACGAATTCCCAAAACGTTGCGGAATCTTTGATCTGAAAAGCCAAAAAAAAAAAAAGAGTTGTTATTTTTATTTAACAGATTGTTATGGTATTTGTATTTGACTCTCTCTCTCTTCAAATTGTTTTTTTTTTGCTTCACCTCTTTCTCCTTGATAATTTGAAACATATTACAGTGCGATAAAGGAATAACAAGATGCGAAAAAACAAGTTATGTTGGTTTTTTAATTATGTTTGAATAAACTTGAAGATGAAAAGAAAAATGTAAAACGGGAATATTTCTGTTTTGTATGTCCTAGTGACTATCTTATATCTATAATAAGTCAATATATATGTTATGATAAAAAAGACAAATCAGGGTAAAAGAACTATAATAAAAGATTTATACCTTCGCAAAAGGACTAACAGCTTTGTTGTGAAGGTGGGTGTTCATGTGGTACATGGAACTGTCTCTGCTCCCGTTCGCTATGACTAGTAACAGAATGATGTAGCTGGTGTAGAACACAAAGTCGTAACACGCATCTCTCAGACCCAGTTCTATGAATCGCTGTTCTCTAGCAACCGCAAGTATGCCTCTTCCCGGAGGTCCAGTCGGTTTGGATCTCTTCTTCCTTGATGTGTGTTTAGTCTGAAACAAAAATATCTAATTGTAAAGCGCACGGAAATGGATAAATGCTTACGGATACGAGTACATGTACGCCCCTCATGCAATTATTTTCTGTGTTTGTTTGCCTAGCCTGGTAATGGTAATAAGCAAATTGTATTTTGAATGTGTACTATTTGTTACCCCTGCCTGGTGTAAATGGAAATAAGAAGACTTTATACAAAATAGAAATTCCCCCAATGATTGTAAAAGTTCATACATATCCCATTCTAACCACCTTCTCTTTTATGAGTTAGGTTGTAGTGTTATGAAAGTGTAGTTATACAATGTATGTACACGTAAATGCCATTATTTGTATCGTCTATAAATGTCGTTCAATAAACCATTCTTAAGTTGATAGATAAGCAAATAAATAAAGTTCTAGGTAGTTGATTTCTTGACACAATTATTCTTCTACTTGTCCCACTTGGTTAAATTATGCATGTAACATTGAGATCGTGGGTTCGTGTGGCGTAAACGACAGGGCGTTCGACTCGAAACCAAACGGTTACGAGTTGGAATCCTACCATGCCACGAATTTTTTGCCCATGGGAAAGACACTTCCGAATTTCCTCACTTAACTCAGGTGAAAATGAGTATCTCCATTGCCCTTGTGTTTGTCTGCGTTGGTGGCAGCATTAAAAAAAGTTGAAAAAATTGAGTGTGCCATCGCCATGTCTTGTGATAAATGTTGTAATAGAAAAAAATGAGATGGCGTAGGTATATATAATAAATAACTCATTAACCTACATCTTTATCCTGTAGTCCAAGAAACACCTCATCATCACGCAGCTGGGTTGGGGGAACATCGTCTTCTAGTGAGTCAGGCTTCTTTCATATGGAAAAAAAATTCAAGTCAATAGTAAGCATGAAACTCCGCTATTTATAGTGTAACGCCGTAGAAAGAAGAAAGGGAACAAATCGACAAAGACTGACGCTGACTACCGGTTATCGAACCCTCGCCGACGCACAACCCACCAGACCAAAAGGTCCAGGACCAATGACGCCTATATACTCGCCGTTACAATAAACATACTCGTAGTGCAAAGAATCCATCCTTTACGCACACCTTAAAGCTCACGTAAAGATCCCGTTTCTTTACTCTCGTGCGCCTTTATGCAGGCTTTAAGGTGTTCTCAAAGATATAATTTCGTGCGGTGGTCGCATGTACAATTCCAAGTCCCTAAATGACACATGTTTCGACTTGCTTTGTCCCAACTAGAAGTAACTGTTTCATCGTACTGCACACGGCAAATGGATTCTGTTGAACATGGATAGTTTTATGATGATGCAATGTTTTACCTTTATTAACAACGCGAAGAACAAACCCAGCAGAATGATCTTGAGTGGTTGAGATATGGCGAGGTCAAAGACGAATGATGTGAGGAAGGTTAGAACCCAGGCCTCAGCCTTCTCACGGCCGTACTCGAACCCGTACAACATGGTGAAGAACGCGGAGACGACACAGGTACCCAGCACAAGGAGCCATGCTGCAAATTGATACAAAAAATCAAAATACTTTATTATCATTCGTAATCATGTTCCTTTACTGCCGATATAAGATTATTGTATGATTACAGTATTTAGCATAAGTATCATACATCTCGTCCCCCGAAATCACAATTATCACTGCTCGAGACATGCAAGAGAATGACCGACGTATTTCATAAGGCTATAGTACGAGTACTCAATTATATAGTGTTTTTCTCACCAAAAAAGACGCACCACCATGGTAAAAGACATTTCTTTTTCTTCTTCTTCTCCGACAGTTGGTAGAATTTCACTGAAGGGTCACTTTCCAGTACTGCAATACAAGCATTGATGACATAATTGCCAAGAAAACACAAAATAGTGACTTGTACAACGCTTGAGAAAACATTGCCTATTCTTAAAAGAGGACAATTTTAGAGCTGCATCACCACCAAGAACAGGATTTATCCCCCATTCGATATACATTTTCAACACATACTACACAAATGGACACTACGTATACCGGGCCTGTTTAATATTGTCTTAGCAGCCACCACAGTATCTCAATGATTTTACGATACATTACCGCAGAGGAAGCACATATACCTAAGGCATCGGATTTTTCATCTTCTCTACTGCTGACGGTATCTTCTGGGGGTTCAACTTCTTCTACTGAAACGACTGTTAAACCGCCGTCAGTGGTGACGCGTACGTCCTCGCCTTCTGCCTGCGATGATACTGAGTAGACTTCTGACCTCCGAGCGAAGAAAGGCTCGTCCCGGCTGAAGGACATGGCTGGTGAGGGTGTGCCGCCAGGGTCCGTCCTCGGTACACTCACCGCGTCAACTGTAAAATATGTTTTTTTTTTATTCTTTAGTCTTTCTTCAAAACAGTGGTCAGCATAGCAGCAGTACATGAAAAAATATGGACCGCTGAATTGTGCTGACCGTACATAGTACATAAAAAATACAACGTAAATACAAACAAAACATACAGATTCACGACAATTACAATAAGTACAACGCATAATGTTTGATCGTAATATGTCCTAGGCGTCAAGTTTGTTTTCTATGCCTGTGTTTTATGAAGTATTTTAAAGTATGTGGCCGCGATGTATAATTACTAACGCATGCCACAAAGAATCATAGCAAGTAAAGGAGCCGTTGCAATAAGGATTAGCAGTGACAAAATGTGATACTAGTGGACAAAACCATAACGGAGGAAGAGAAGGTGTACAAGAGTGTGATACAGAAGACTACCATAGTCCCCACTCATCAAATATGAGGACTAGGCAAGGCAAGACTCTTGACTTGGTATTACTGAGATAACAATTTAAGTCACTCGGCAATGCCCTACTTCATATGTTTTAATGTAATCACTGTCACCGTATTACCCGTGCACATGCAGAACATCGATTCCGAAGTTTATTTCTTCTTTAAAAAATGACCTTTCAAATTGTTCCAAGAGCAAGAAGAAACCACATTAGCAAAACCATTCCATATGAATTCCATATAGCACGACGCAGACTTAGTCGGTATAATGAGTACGAAAACGTACATACCAACTATTAAATAATTAGTAAAATAAATTTACCAGTACTGATTTTCCTGGAAGGTCTGACCGCACAATTCCGGAAAAATTGGACAATGAGTAGATTTACAGGGATCACCATCAGAGCACTCTGGATACCGATCATTATCTGGAACATAAAAGAACATGTGGTAAGATGGTATTACAGATTGATATGAATGGTTATCGATTAACGATCCATTAGAATGCTGTTATGGAGTGTGTAACACCAGTCATTGGCTTACAAACAGTCATTGGCTTACAAGTGTTGGTGTTGGAAGTTACATGGTAGTTACATGAAAAAAGGTAAATCTTTCAATCCGACACAATGGATTGCTTTTGGCTATAACTTTCAACTGCGAAACGAAATTCACTGGGTCAGATTATTGAGTGAATAATGAAACACTGTAGGTGAGAACATTTCCCTTGCGTTGGATCATCAGTTTCAGCTTTAAACGTCTTCAAAAGCTGTCGCTAGAAGAGCGATTTAGTCAGGGCAGTGATGTGCGTACCTCGCCCCAGGAGATGGGAAACTGTACTTGGAACCCCAGGATGTAGACTGGAGCAGGCTTCTGGTAAGTCTGACCCCGGCGGCCGAAGAACATAATGTTGGTGAGCATCGTGCACATCAGCAGAGACAGGCAGCAGGAGACGCGCTGCACTCGGGTAAAGGGACTGGAACGTTTAAAACATATCATTATCAATGTATCCTTTGAAGGAAGAGAGAGAGAGAGAGAGAGA